TATATATATATAGGGTTGGGTTCACGTAAGACCATGCTGTTTTCGTGAGACCCGTGAGACCACATTTTTACACTTGAAACTTCACAACAAAAACACTGTGAAGGTTTAAAAAAGTCGAACCTTCACAGCATTTTGCTGTGAAGTTTCAAGTGTAAAAAGCTGGTCTCACGGGTCTCATGAAAACAGGTTGGTCTCATGTGATCCCAAGTCTATATATATATATATATATATATATATGTGTGTGTGTGTGTGTGTGTGTGTGTGTCATTACAACAAAATTGGTTTTATATGACACCCTCAATCTCTAAGTGTCTCAATAAACCGCTTTATAAGACTTAATTTATAAGACAAAAATATAAAGCGTCCTATCTAAAGACGTTGTAATAAGTATATATTACGTTTTTGGGCGTCTTAACAAGTTTTTGAGGACATTTTTAATACAAAGTGTCGTATTAACAACTTTATAAGACACTTTTGAGAAATTGTCCTATAAACTCAATTTTTTATAGGACACTTGTTTTTATATGACACTTTTTCAAATAGTGTCCTATAAAGTTGATAATGAGACGCTTTATATTAAAAGTGTCCTAAAAAACTTATTACGACATTAAAAAAAAACGTCATGTAAACTTAATATAACATCCTTAGATAGGACACTTGGTCCTATAAACTAAGTCCTATAAAGAGGTCTATTAGGACGTTTAGAATTTGAGAGTGTCATATAAACCCTTTGTTGTAGTGTATATATAGACTTGGGACCGCGTGAAACCAGTCTGTTTTCGTGAGACCAGTGAGACCACTTTTTTATACTTGAAACTTTACAACAAAATGTTGTGAAGGTAAGCTTCACAGTGTTTTTGCTATGAAGGTCCGACTTTTTTTAACCTTCACTTTGGAGTTTCAAGTGTAAAAAAATAGTATCACAAAAACAAACCCAACTTTATATGTATGTATGTATATATAGATATATAATACAGAACTTATATCGTTCTAAAACCATGGAAAACTATGATAACGACTTACAAGAATCCCATTTTTCACTTATAAAAACCTTTTATTATAGATCGATGTCAATACTAAACAAACTACGAGATGAGTAAATACCTAAAATGGTGATTTCCAGAAGGCCACATAAGGTTTGTGAAGCGTTGAACATCATCTAAACTTGTAGCATGCTCAATTCCCAAACTTTGATACAGTGGACGAGTAGGAACTGGACGCATGTAGCCATGGAAAGGCTTATCAGATGTATTGTTGATTTTGGTGTCTGTAGGGAGGTCAAATGGGGTTCTTAAGGAATCAAGAACTTCCTTCTTCAACTGTTGAGAAACCCTTTCATATACAGCCACGAAACAACCATACTTTTCAAGAGCTTGTGTCACCTTTTGGGATGTCGAGATCCAAGATTCAGTTCCAGGATTCAAGTCAGCCATGTGAATTACAGGAAGCTTGGGTTGTGATAGAGAAACCATGATTCAGTTATATGTGCCGCAGAAAGATAGAGAGACAAGTCTTGTATGCTCTTAAGCTTTTATGTTATGATATATATATATATAGGGTTAAGGTTCAGTGGCGAATCCAGAATTTTTGTCTAGTGGGGTCACCTTTAAGGTAGACTAAAGGCCCGAAAAGTTGCCGATGTGTTTTTAACCTAATTACAACATTTCGAGGGATTTTTAAAGTTTTTTGGTTGATTTTGAGGGATTTTTTTAGTGTTTTTGTCGATTTCAAATAACTTTTTTGGTTTTCTATGAAAGTTACTTGATGCATTTAATTAAGGTATCTATTTATAATTTTTTTATATAAATTTTCATGATTTAAGTATGATTCATTTTTCATTTATTTTTATTTTTTATAATATTTAAAATAAGCATGATATTTTTTTCATTTAAAATACTAATTTTTTATTGACATAATTAATTTAAGTTTTTTTTTTCAATTTTTGTAAAAAATCATATATCCACAATTAATCAATTTTTTTTTTTTATAAAATCGCTATTTTATTGTTAAAATATCATATGTAATATTGATTATAGTAAATATAAATGAGGAAAAAAAATAATTTATTTATAACATTAAATGTGATAAAACAAGAAAATAATTCCGGGCCGATCATTTATTTGAATCATGTCTTGAATAAAACTTTCTTAAAAATAACCAAAAAACGCATATGTGTCATTTGTTGTATAATACCATACATAAAAATTTCAGAGGCGGAACACGAGCCTTCTAACCGAGGGGACCGAAACGAGCTAAGTCGATAGCAAATAGTTTGAGTTTCGGCTTGAAAAATTAACAGATAAAATTCAAACTATATAAGCTCATCTATGGGGTCGAACTCGAAATCAGTTAACTTGTTTTTTGGTTCATTAAGTTAAACGAGATTATATTTTAATGTTTGAGATCGGCTCGATTTTGAAAATTATTAAGTTCACGTAACTCGTTAAAAGCTTGAATTATTAACGTACACTCTTAGACCGAACCAGATCTTTTTATACGTATATATTACAAGTCATTGAGTGAGACAAAAAAAATGACTCCTCACATTCGTGTTCTTGGAGGCAGGTTTCGTATAGGGTCGGTTATGGTTGTCGTTGATCAACTTTTTGTCCAAATATGTTTTACATAAATGACTCCAATGGAAATATGGAATGTTTCGACATGCAGTTCGATGGGTAAATAAGGATCCAATCAATGAATAGATGATTTTTGGAGGGGCCACTGTCAAAAATTTAAAAAAATTACACTGGTTTTGGAATCTAAATCTATTAGGGTGCGTTTGGTACGCAGACAGGACAGGACAGGACAGGACAGAACAAAACAGAACAGGACAGGACAGGACAGGTGTTCAACGTTTGGTAAGACATGACAGGACATGACAGAACATGACCAAACTGGTTAAAATGACCAATTTACCCCCAGTGACATTTCAAGTACATAACTACATATCAGACGAAACAATAGGCAAAATCGAGTGTGTTGGGAAACAGTAGGCAAAATCCAAACAATAGGCAAAATCGATTTATCAATCGAAACAGTAGGCAAAATCGATTTATCAATCCAAACAGTAGGCAAAATCGATTACCAGCTATGAAGAAGACGACGAAGATGGAGGAGACGGTGGATGCTGTGAAGAAATCGATGCTATGAAGAAGACGAAGAAACAGTAGGCAAAATCCAAACACCCGGTTCATGGTTCAACTGAAAACACAAAATCAATAAAAAAATCATTTCGAATTTCATCAAATAGAACAAACCCCAGTTCGTGAAATCCAAATAGAACACATAGAAAATCGAGAGAAATTGACCGTACCTTTGTTCTTGGATGCTATGAAGAAATCGATGGAGATGGAGGTCTCCTGTGAATAAATCGTTGGAGATGGAGATAGAGATCGATGGAAATGGAGATCGATGGAGATGGAGGTGGACTGTGAAGAAATCGATGGAGATGGAGATCGATGGAGATGGAGGTGGAGATCGATCGAGATGGAAATGGAGGTGGAGATCGATGGAGATGGAGATCGATCGACATGAACCTGTGAAGAGATCGATCGAGATGAACCTGTGAAGAGATCGATGGAGATGGAGATGGAGATCGATGGGTATATTTGTCAAATATGTCTTGTTCCACTTAGTTCCAGGGGGTTGAGGGTGAACAAGCTTGTCCCATACGTGTTCCACTTAGTTCCATTTAGTTCCACTTAGAAACACACCAAACATGGGACAAGTGTGTCATGTTCTATCATGTCCCATCATGTTCCACGTACCAAACGCACCCTTAAGTAGGAAGAAAAACAGGGGGGCCTTGGCCTCCAAAGCCCATATTAAAAATTCATTTATTTCTATAAAGATTATTTAATGCTTTTAATAAAACAGAAGCCCATATTAAAAATTCATTTATTTTTATAAAAATTATTTAATGCTTTTAATTAAGATATTTACCTATGAGTTTTTTTTATATATAATTTTCGTGATTTAAGTATGATTAATTTTTTATTTATTTTTTATGACACTTAAAATAAGCACGAGTTATTATTTTTATTTAAAATGTTATTTTTTATTAAAATAATTTATTTAATATTTTTTTTGATTAATCTGGATATCCAACCCGTAATATTTTTTATAATTTTCAAATTACGTATGATATCCACAATTAAATTACTTTTTTCCCAATGAAATTTGTTATTTTTGGCCAAAATATTATATGTGATATTGATCATGCTAAATATAAGCGGAAAAAGAACATTTAAGTTATCTACAACATTACATGTGATATTTGTAGATTATGAATTACGTTTTGAAGTACATGTGATTTTATACATGTTGAATATGACATTTAAAATAAGCATGATCTAGTTTTCATTTATAATATTTGTTTTTTACAGAAATAATTTGTTTCAGATTCTTTTACAATTTTTCATCAGAAATCACATATGATATCTACAATTAATCGACATTTCCCCAAAAAATAGCTATTTTTTTTTATCAAAATATTATATGTAATATTGAATTATTGATCACAGTAAATATAAGTGAAAGTGATATATAAGTGATCTACAACATTATATGTGATATTTTTTAATTATTCTTGATATTCTCTAATAAAGTTTAGCGTGAATAAGAAGGTGAAACCTTTTTTTTTTAAATAAAATTGAATGCGAATACAAGTTTTTATTAGCGTCCTTTTTGTTACAATTATCTATACTATATTATAAAGCATTTGACAAAAACTTTTAAAAACCATTTTTTATGCATAAAGTACTGTTTAATAATGCATATTACTTAAAACTCAAGATTGTAAGTAGATTGTGCGTAAGTACAATTTAAAAAAGCTTCATATCTGACTTCATGCAACTAACTGCAGATAAACATAATCAAATATAGGATAAACATCTCATTTTAAATATAAAAAATCAAAAAATATAATTAGGATAATCATTGAGTTCTAACATAATACTTAATTATTATCTTTATAAAAAATTATATTATTAAACCCAAATTAAATTATTTCGTTATTAAAGTTAAATTAAATTATAGTAAAAAAATAAAAGAAATTACATAAAAAATGAGAACTTTTAAATAGTTGATTTGATATTTTTTTTTTCAAATTTATATTTTATTCAAAAATAATATCATTATTGTTTTCTTAAAAACACATAAAACCGTTTTATAACATCGACAAAGACAAATATTAAAATAGAACATTAAAATCGAGATGTGTCTCGTTGCATTGCACGAGTACTATTCTAGTTTATTTATATTGATGTAGTAGTGTTAACATAGTAACAATGTAACCAACTCTACAAGGTTATTTTGTGTATATTTGATCCTTTCTATAGACTTTACAGTTATTTTTTGTACATTTGACCATTTCTACCAGGGATCAGCGAGGGAACTGGTTTTTGGCCATTTCTTCGTTGATCTCTCGCAGATTAGCGAGGGAACTGGTTTTTCTCAATTCCCTCGCTGATCAGTGATTTTTTTTTCCGTCGCTAACTTCTGTCACTGATACTTAGTTTTTTAGTAGTGGAATTAGGGATTAACTATGTCGGTTAATTTGTTTATATTGGGGGCTAAATCTTTTGATTTAAGGGCTAACTTGTTTATAATTGAGATTAATATGTTGCATCTCAAATCGATCATGTGGATAACCAAGGGAAAAACTGGAAATACACCAACAATCGATTGGTTCTAAAGTTTTAACAGATAATTTTATGAAAATAAACTAGTGTTCCAATTTTTAATGACTTAAATACTTAATATATATCTAATGGACCCAAAATAGCCAAAAAATTACGACAAGGGTGGTGCCTGATTGGTTTGAGCTTGGCTCCAAAGATCAAAAGTGTTAGAAGGTCTCAGGTTCAAATCCAAGGAGGAACAAAAATCCACTTGTGGCCACAGAGGTTCAAACACGGTAACTCCGGGTTACGTGCAAAGCAGGTGTCGCCCTGAAATTAGTTGGCTCGCATAGCGGGTTGGATATCCAAGTTAATCAAAAAAAAAAAAATATAGCAAAAAAAATAGAGCCCATGCAATAATTTTATAAATTAACTTTTAAATTTTTTATATTATGCATGATATCTATTTTGTAATACCAGTGTCAAAAAATCCTGCACGTTTATGCATCTCTATCGTGCCACACAATGCTTGAAACAACAAAAGGCCGTTCAATCCATCATTGTTGTGGCATCAACGACATGCTACTCTCTTTCAGCAGCAAAAATGCTTCTTTCTTAGAAGAAAATTTTACCATCCTATTTAAACGACGATAAAAAATCAAACTTAGCGAAGTTAGCAAATATCCAGAGGGTTTTGAGTGCAAGAAAAACACGATGCATGCAAATGTTACATTTATCATAGGGGTTGGGTTCATGTGAGATAAGATTGTGTTCATGAAACACGTGAGACATGATTTTTACATTTGAAACTTCACAACAACAAAACAATGTTTATAGCTGAATATTGTGAAGGTAAAAAAAAGCTGAATATTTACAGCAAAAACGTTGTGAATATTACCT